CCAATTGCTTTCTAAAGTGTCTTGGATGCACAGGAATATATTATTATGATCAATTTCATCTATTGTTGTTAGCTGATGGAGAATCTTTGCTGGAAAATGTGGACAACACATTGTGTTACATTGTCAATAATGTGTTACAATGCATTGTTCCCCTGAGGATGCATTCTCATTGACTATATGCTGGTCCATTGCGACATTGTAAATCTGATAATGGACTTTAGAATTGAAACATGCACCGAAAGTGATAACCAACCATTGGTGATGTCTGTAAATTTAAACTTTGATTTAGAAATAACTAATCGTAACAACACAAATTATTGTCAACATGAGCAAATGACCCAGTTAAAATGGTCCCAGGAAATGAGTGTAGCAGTGGGGGAAAATTTACAGTTAATTTTACAAACCAGGTAATCTTTAATCTAAAGAGCATTAATTCTTGTAGTGACATTCTGGAAGTATACAGTCATACCTCGGGTTAAAGTCACTTCAGGTTGAACGTTTTCAGGTTGTGTCCTGTGGTGACCCGGAAGTAACGGAACGGGTTACTTCCAGGTTTCGCTGCTCACGCATGTGCAGACACTCAGAATGACATCACACGCATGCACAGACACGGGTTGTGTTCTGCTCATGATGCGAACGGGGCTCCGGAACGGATCCCGTTCGCATCCAGAGGTACCACTGTATAGTGAAATCTTCAAAACACTTGAAGAGCTTAACACTCCACCAAAAGTCAGGTCACTTAAAAACAGAACTAGTCCCTGGTTCGATGATGAATGTCTTCAACTTAAAAGAAAATTGCACCAAATTTTCAAAAATAACCGTACCAAACTAGAACCTTTCTACTTCAATGAAACAAGAAAACATCACCTTGTTCTGGCCAAAAAGAAATAAAAATATGCCACCCCAAAATGGTCCCAATTACCTGACTCCATCCAAAACAAAAATAACAAATCATTTTGGTTGATAGTATATGGAGGTCTGGAAGCTGGCAACCAATCAGCTGTCCCACTGCGGATGTTTTTTGAATGTGCCGGACACAGTAGAACATATAATTTTCTACTGTCCATTCCACAACCAGCTGCGCAGATGCATGCTATCCCATTTCCTGGTAGTCTAACATCACGGCACGATGAAAATATCAGATTCTATCTGTCTGACATTAACCCAGAAGTAACTGCAAGGGTGGCTGAGTTTTTATCAATAGTATTTCTTAGAGTGGTGAATGGCAGTATTTAGCAGGAAGAAACTCCAATGAAAATCCTCGTTATTACATATTTTTACATGGCTGTTTATTTGTATATATTTTAAAATTGTGTGTGTGTGTGTGTGTGTGTGTGTGTGTGTGTTCTATGATGGCCTTTGTAATGCCTAATAAAGGTTTGGCGAAGTACGTACAATGCATTGTAACAATTGTCACAAAGTTCTTCCTAAGGTTTAGCTGGAATCTCCTTTCTTGTAATTTCTCCTCCTCTGGAGGAGAAAAGAAGCTTGCTCCATCTTTCATGTGACAGCCCTTTAGATATTTGAAGATGGCTATCATATAGCCTCTCAGCCTCCTCTTTTCCCAATTCCTTCAACTGTTCCACATTAAGTTTTGTTTCCAAACGCTTTATCATCTTGTCAATATCCTTTCTCAAAATGAGATGCCCCAAACCAGACACAGTAGTCCAGGAGTGGTCTGACCAAGGCAGAATAGAATTGTATTATTACTATTACTTCCTTTGATCCGAACTCTATACTTTCATTTAACAGAATGTCACTGTTTTGTCTGGCTCTTAAGCAGGTGAATCTTAAATTCTGAAGGGGTCTATTTCACTCAGTATTGTCTACATACACTTACTGGCAGTGAGTCTCCAGAGTTTCAGATGTGAATCTTCCACAGCTCTACTCAGAGATGGTACCTGAGACCTTTTGCAGGCAAAGTGTTTGCTCTACCACTGAGCCAATGAGCCTCGGTCCAATATTTTATGTTTTTCTTCATGAGGAATGCAGTGAATCAAGGGAAAGCGACCAGCTGTTTATATTAATAGGTGCACTTCACCTCATTACTTTACTGGACTGGACAAGGCTACGCACAAGCTGAATCCTACATAAGTAGCTCACATAAAAGGAGTATTATGTAGCATATCTATAAATATCCATTTTATTTTTAATTCATAACTCTGCCAGCTACTGGCTGCTGGCCCAGGAATGACGAACTCAATACCAGGCTCCCTCGCAACAATGTGAAGTGTGCCAACCACTGCTTCTTTGTAAATAAATACAATATGAAAACCAGCCTTGCATGCATCTATGTATGTATGTATGTGTATGTGTGTACATACACACACAGAGAGAGAGACTTAGAATCATAGAACTATAAAGTTGGAAGGATTTGAGGGTCATTTAGTCCAACTCTTTGCAAGGCAAGGAGTAGGTCATACAGGACAGATGACCATCCAACCTCTACTTAAAATCTTACGAGAAAGGAGAGTCCACCACCTCTCATAGGAGTCTTTTCCAATGTTGAACAGCTCTTGCTGTCAGAACCAAAGACGTTAGTCAGTTTGCTTGCCTGAAAGCCTGCCCATCTGAAAACCTATCCATCATAGGATACATACACATCAGCGAGCAAGTTGGTCTCTCCTACCCAACACACAAGCTTTATAAAGGATATGGGCACACTTCAGGCAAGGAACTTTGCAAGTTGAAACTGTCAGGTGCAGTTACTATACCACATTAAACTCTTGCACATTTAAAGCATCTTCTAAGGACAACTTTGCCTGTTTGGAGTTTATTTTTTATCTCCACATAATACTCCTTACATTCATCTATTTATAAAAGTATTTATGGTATATACCACAATATCAAAAATGATCAGGGCAGTTCACAACAAAATTATATATACAATAAAACACACTTAAAACAGTACAAAATATTTATTAAAAAAAAGGTTCAAAGATGTGTAAGGCTTCACTAACAGGGAAACATGGCTTTGCAGACAACTGATGGTGTCTTTCAGATGATGTTGGACTACAAATCCTAACATCCCTGCCCTTGGCCATGCTGGCAGGGGGTGACAGGAGTTGTAGTCCATCAACATCTGGAGGGCATCCCATTAGCTACCCAGATTTATTCCAAAAGAGTTGTCTGCAACTCCACATCACACACACACACATACAGTTCTCACAGTGCCCTATTATAAGACATTTCATTTTATTGCTGTGGATTCCCATTTCAGATACAATCATGAGCTGCAGCATCTCCAAATTATAACCTCACATGATGGCAGTATAGTGCGCCATAAATGCCAATATCTTGATTTAATGTGGTGATCCGGGGAGCATGATATTGCAAGCACCATAACGTAGCACAGCTCATGTATAAAACACCTTTACGATGGGATTTTATTAGCGTTGACATTAGAATTAGAAGCGAGAAACTGACGACGAGAAAAGAGCCTGCGAAAACTTAAGATTGCAAATGGGTTGAGAGAAAGGCAGCAGCCCCAAACCATGAAGTTTAAGGAGAAGAGCTGCAGCTCAGTGGTACAGCATCTGCTTTTCTGGCAGAAGGCCCCAGGTTGAATGCCCAGCACCTCCGGGTCAGGCTGAGAAAGCCTCCTGCCTAAAAACCCTGGAAAGTTGCTGAAAGCCAGTGTGGACAATACTGAGCTGGCTGGACCAACAGTCCAATTTAGTTTAAGGTAAGTTTCCTATGTTGCAAAGTATGAATATGTTCTAAGTGTGAAGAACTCAGAGCTAGATTATAAGAAATCAACAAAACACAAGAGCTTTCTTTGCAAAAGATAGGCTTTTTCATATTATCCAGTTTACAAATATATAGACCAAGGAGGTAGCAACCAACCAACCAAGGCCAATAAGTAAGCAAGGTCAAGCAGTTATCAGTCTAGCACTCAAAGGCTGTTTATAAGTCAAAACTGTTTCTTGCAGGCAGATGAAATTACAGTGGAACCCTAACCACGGGTGGTATTCAACTAAGTTTTAGTCAGAGCAGCCCTTTTGAAATTAATTACAAAGTTAGGTCCATTAATTCCAGTGGGTCTACTCTGAGTGAAATGGACCGTGCTGTGTTAATATATGTCCACTCATCATTTCTTTTCTATTTAACTTTTTTATCTTGTGGATAAACTAAGCATTATTAAAAAGTGTGTGACTTCAGAGCCCATCAAATACTTTTTTGCTGGTCATCCACCGCCCCCAATCCAGTATCATCAGAGTTAAGTTCTTTTCCCACCAAACACAGGAGCATTAATGCACTCAGCTGTTTGTTTGCACCTCCTGCTGGGGTTGCACACATGATGTTTCAGGGTCGTGTTTTGACAGGTGTGCTGAGCAAATAGGATGGTTCTTTATGCCTCTGACCATCTGACTTGATATTTTTTGAAAACAATTTGCAGATAATCAAGCATTTCTCTTAGAGCTTTTATTTCCAAAAGGAAATGGACTGAGATCTGAAGCTCCTAACATATCAGTTAAAACCAAGGCCATGTGTATACTCCAGCAAAGAAATGCAGTATGTTGTACTGGCTGCAAGATTCCGCTTCCCTAGTCTCTACTTTCTTGCTTTCTTTTTCAAAGCAGCCTCCAAAAGTCTCAGGGAAAAGCTCTTCCCAGCCTTGCTCCCAAGAGATCCTTTTAATATGAGGTACCAGGGACTGAACCTGGGACCCTCCACATGCAAATCATGCACTCACCCACTGAGCTATCATTCCTCTCCGCAGAAAAACTTGAGAAGCAATTATACTCCACCAAGGCTATCAATGGCTTCTAGTCAGGATGGCCATATGCTACCCTCAAGGTTCAAAGTGGCATGTCTCTAAATACTGTTGGGGAGAATGAGTAGGACAGAGTTATTGTCTTGGCATCCTATTTGTGGGTTTCCTACAGACATCTGGTTGGCCACTGCAGGATAGAGGATGATGGAATAAATAGCTTGATCTAGCAGGGCTCTTTAAAACATGTTAAGTCTCAACCAAATAATTAAAGTGCACTGAACAGTTGCCAACATCGCAGCCATTTTTATTGCAAATGTTTCGGATTTAAATAGTTTTCTTTATTTAGGTACCCAGAAGACATGAGACAACACACTCCTTTGGCCATCCGTATGTTGCCCAGTCCTCAGCTCTATCTATGGTTCTGAAGTTCTCATTTTTCGTCTTATCTCTTCTGCATGTGCTTGGCTCCTGGCTCTGTTTTCTTGATACTGGCAGGAAAAACAAGGCGATAAATGAATAATAGATAAGTCATGTCACTACATTAAAAATGCAGCATGGGTTTATCACTCGAAAAGGAAATACATGGTTTTTTTGTAGAACACAAATTACATTTGCATTGGTTGGGGTGGGGACCACCACCAAAGCAGCCCACTAAGGTTATTATTATTATTATTATTCTGAAGACAGAAGTGCCTGGCGTGCTTTGGTCCATGGGGTCACGAAGAGTCGGACACGACTAAACGACTAAACAAAAACAAGGTTATTATTTAATTTGCATCTTTAGCTACTCCATTTTTCAAAAGTGAACAGCAGCTCTTTCCACAGCTCCATATGCTTTCTGAGACTTCAAGGGAACACTCTGTGTACATTTTTAAACCATGAGGGCTAACAAACCTCGCCAAAGGATCTGAACCATTGCCCAGTATCCATTTTTGGAGCAAGGTGTGTGAGCAGGTTGTGGCAATACAGGTTCTGTGGGATGGGTGTGGGTGGGTTAAACAAATTGTCTAGATCCTCTCCAGCCTGGATTTTGGCACTGAGTGTGGTCCCCCAGGTGGATGATTTCTGATGGGAGACAGCCTAGGGGAATATGGGTTCAAACGCTTTTGTAAAATTCAAGCAGGACCCCTAGACTCAAGAGCAGGGGTTCTCAAACTTTTTCAGGCCATGCTTGGTTTCATAAACTCATCCCCATTGCCTCCTACGCGGTTCTACAAAAAGCATCATTCAGAAGAGCTGTTTGCATGACCTACTAAATATAACAACATCATAAAATTCAAAAGAGTAATAACTAATTGCACATTTATTCAAAACCAAATTAAAACTATTTAGTTCAATTAATTCAATGAAACTGTGGAACTTGATCCAGTGATACCAACATTTCAAAGTCTGTTAGTCATTTACACCTCCAGCTATCCCCTTGCCTCATAGTACCCCCTTAGATAATCCCACTGCCCTTCCTGGGATTGGTACAGCCCACCTTGGGAACCACTTGTCAAGAGGAAGGCACAAAACTGAAAGGGGTGTTTGGGAATATTTCAGTGGTCTGGCCTCATTTGTCTGTGGCTTACCTCTTTCTTTAAGCATCGCCTCATTTCTTTGTCAAAATCATTGCAACGACCAAAATATCTCATGATGGAGTGCTGAGAAACAGGACCACAGTAATAATAAATTATACAAATAAATACACCAAGTCTTCTCATGTCATTTGTATATCACAAAAAAACAGTATAACAGTTTTAAAGTAATATTTACAAGATAGGATTCATTATTAACGGTCAATGTACAAGTTCTTGGTTTGTGAATTGGTTTAAACAAAAGCAAAAGCGAAGGGGAAAGAGGATAGAACAGGGTTAACAGGTAACATTCAATATTGCACACCTAAACACCTGATCTGGAGCGCTTGTGGTTGTGCTTAGATTACGTAAATGTCATTTTTCCTCTTATGTTATCAATGATGTTGGCAGACATGGGAAGAGTTCAAAGTGAAGATTATAATTTACGTTTAAATTAGTGGTAATGGTAATTCATAATCAGTCACACTGGATTTCCTTTCCAACTCCCCCTCCCCCAAAAAATCTGTAAAATGGAGGTTGTGGCACTTCTGACAACATGGGTCAAACCAAGACAAAGGCATTTGTTTCATGACTGTGTACGTTAATTAGCTGACCAAGGCTATGATGTCAGTGTTTTATTTTTTATTCATTGCACACATACCTTTCTGCCAAGGTAGTTTACAATTTAAAATATGAAAACAAATCCACAGTACAAAATATTCTCCAGTCTACTTCAGGACCTTAACTCCCTAACCCAGGCTTAACCCTGGGCCTGGCTTCCCAACTTCCAGTTGTCATCACCAACAGCTGTATGACACCATGCTTGTGTTTTTATATTTGTAAACCGCTTAGAAGCCTATTTTGGTATTACGTGGGATATAAGAGAATACTAATAGTAACAGCTACTTATTTTCTTTTCACCTTGTGATTGACACTCCCCCTGCCAACCATCGGAAAGGGAAAGGGCAGGAAGTGGGTGGGGGTGGAGCGTAGGCATTGTTCCTGGACACACATCCCAAGAGAGGCCTTGAGTAGTTGAGCCAGCAGTTGAAAGATTTCCCCCAACCCAAACCTAAAGACTCTCATCCATAGTTGCTGCACCCATAGAATACATAGGAAGCTATCTGGTTCACACGTCACACGCCTGCAACATGCAGGCTCAAAGAGAGCATATTGCAGTCACTTTGCTCTTTGTTGGTCATTTGGCTGATGCACTAAGCTTAATGGGCTCGTGATTTAGCTCTCTCAGACAAACCATGTATTGTAAACATAGGACAAACGTTGGTTATGCTGCATAAACTATTAAGTTTAGTTACTTCATGTCACAGAGCCAGAGCAATGCTTCCTGCCCCCCTCTAAACAGGCTAGTGTCATTTTTACGTGTGCACACACACGTATTCACTGGATTGTTTGTTTGTTTGTTTGTTTGTTTGTTTGTTTGAACCACTTCCCCCTCCAATTTGGCTCAATCCTAACCACAACCAGTTCAGTGCTTACTACAGCAGTAAGTCACAAAAGCCTTTAGGAGCCTTGGCACCAGTTCAGTACAGGACTGTATAACTGTTTCAAAATTATTAGCAGCTGCATTGAATTTGTATGCTGGTTTCCATCCCACTTCCTATACTTGCCTTGTATTAATCTCAATAAAAGCATGTTTCCAAAGTTCTAACATGAAACAATCAATGGACCATATAAGTTAACTAAGAAACAGGGGGAAGTTCTTTTGTAAGTAGTATTTAGAAAATAAAGAAATTTATTTTCGGGACCTGGACCACAAATGCAGATATTCTACTTCCTTCTGCAGGAAACTATTTTCAGCTAATTAACTCTTTATTGTTGCTTCTACATGCACAGCTAGAGAACAGTTAGCAATTTTTAACGTGTCAGATACATCATCTGCATCTTTATACTGAGAGTGAAAGATCCTTCCTTCCTTCCTTGGCCGTGCTTCCATTTCTCTTCTTCCAGCAATCAAATATAGGTTTCAAGTAGGACTGATCATAAACCACATCTTGTTAACCTATAATTATATGTAACATTTCACCTAGCCTTTCTAAAACATGAAAGGATTAGAGCTGTTCATGAATATTAATTCCGAAAAAAGGCTCCCTTGCAGCCATGGCCAGGCAGGAATGTTACCGCAGATGAATTCTACCGAGCAACAAAAGGCAGCTCTTAATTACCCACCATGGCGTAATTAGGTGGTAGCGGCAGCAGCAAAGTTCTAATTGCTTGAAGAGAACAACTGCAGCCAAGGAGTCGGATGAGCGATACAAGGCCCATGGCTACAGGACACCCTTGCAAGCTGACTTCTCCATCATATTTGAGAATCATAAGCACCTAGCAACTCCCTCCCACCCAAAACCTAATCCAGCAACTGCCTTATAGGCAAAATCTCTCAGCATTAATTTTGAAAAGGCTTGTGTGGCAAGCCCAGCACTTTGATTGCTCTTAATGCACCAGCTGATAAACCCGTCTGTACGTACCTGCAGTAATATGGATGCTCCCGGATGTTACATTATATTGAGAAAGAAAAGGGTAAACAAAATTGTCGCTTGTGAAAATGGACAAACCTGCACAGCTGCTGAATCAGTTTAACCTGCTGAACTTTCTAAAGGCACCATCAGCAACACTGTGTGTGCTGCTGAGCCAAGGAGAGAGAGACAGAGAAAGAAAGAAAGAAAGAAAGAAAGAAAGAAAGAAAGAAAGAGCTGCTCTTTAGGATGTATTTAGCTATTTCATGGCCATACTGCCCAAAGGCCGTCTCCTCTATCTGTAGAGTTCTGGGATAAGCCCTTTCTATCAGGATACATTTCAGTGTGCTTTGGGTTTAGGCAGAAGTCCTACCTCTTTGTGGCACTCCTTGAGCAGACGGATAATAAGGTTGCATTCTTCGCTGTGCAGATGAGGAGACAGATCTGGGTGCATCGCAAATTAAGGAGAGCTCATGGGCAAAATCTGAAGTCTTCCACCTGTCAATATTGTGATACATTTTTATATCCAAGAGAATGCCAGATAGGGCATCTTGCCCTATGTATATTTCTTAGCGAAAAGATCAGAACCAAAGCATGATTATACAGTAAAGTACTATTTGCATTTGGCTCTTAATTTTTTGTAAAACCAGAGAATCTATAGTGAGCGATTAATTAATCAGTTTAATAACGATAATATTTTTCATTTATTAACTGCTTCCTACAAGATAGTTAGGGAAGCAGGTGGTGCTGTGGTCTAAACCACTGAGCCTAGGGCTTGCCGATCAGAAGGTCGGTGGTTTGAATCCCCGTGACAGGGTGAGCTCCCGTTGCTCGGTCCCTGCTCCTGCCAACCTAGCAGTTCGAAAGCACGCCAAAGTGCAAGTAAATAAATAGGTACCGCACCGACGGGAAGGTAAACGGCGTTTCTGTGCACTGCTCTGGTTTCGCCAGAAGCGGCTTAGTCATGCTGGCCACATGACCCGGAAAAACTGACTTCGGACAAACGTTGGCTCCCTTGGCCAGTAAAGCGAGATGAGTGCCGCAACCCCAGAGTCGTTCATGACTGGACTTAACGGTCAGGGGTCCTTTACCTTTACATGACAGTTTCTTTAAGCAACTTACATCATATAAAATACACAACTGCCTGTGCGTAATTTAAACCCAAATACATAGAATAAAACATAATAGAACAGAGATGTATTGAGGAGTTCATCCAACAACAAAAGTAAAACCTGACCCTACTTGTAGATGTACAATACGGATAGGCAATGTACAATGTACAATGACGATGACAACAACACAACAACCAGAACAACATAATTTAGTTCATCTTCTACAATGGGTTGGTGATTTTAGTTCAGCTCATCAACTGAGAGCAATTCCTCTTTTTCCTGTTTGCCCAATTAAAGGTTCTACATAGTGGAAAAACCTTACATACTCGCTTATCAACAGATAAAATGGGCCAGGAGCCAACAAATTAGGAAACTGGTTCTGTGAGCTCAAAGAGCAGCAAATTGGTTTTGAAACCATGGGGAGTTTCATATAGTTTATGATGCATCCCAGACACGTAGGGAATGGGGAGAGCATCAGCTGCCCAAGTAAATCAGTCCCATTGGGCTAGTTTAAGTCCCTTGTATGAACCCACAGCTGCAATCCTAATAGGCACATTTGAGCTTAAGTCCCACTGAACTGAGGGTAACTCATTCCTGAATGCTTGTGCAAAAGTCTGCACTGCAAGGACTGGCTCTTTGGATTCTAGCCATAAATCACTGCAAATTTAGTTTTAAATAGAACAGGATCCTCTGAGCCCCACATACATAATGATCAAGAGAATCAGTAGATTAGGCAAGGACTCCTTTTGAAGAAAGACTTTTTTAAAAAAAATGGCAGAGAACACAGTTGCCTGATAAAGCACAATTTGTTCAAAATATGTTGAAATTCATACATCGGGTATCAATACATTTATCCCCAGTATCTGTTGGGCTTCTCTGTGTGTCCCTTGCCCACCCCAATGCAGCTTCTTTGGGGGTGACCTTTTGCTACTAGTTTCTGCTCTGCCACACCTCAGCTTCCATTAATCAATTTTTCAAAGCTGAAGCTCTAATTCCACCTCATCTCTGTTAACTATACAGGAATAGAGCAGCAGTAAATGTCTCAGCTTCTGGCTGCCTGGGTATGTGCACCACTAACCGTGCTTTCAACACGTATCCCCAGGCATCAAGGTGTGCAACTGCTTCAAAAAGTAATCAAGAAGTAAATCTTCCTGCAAGGCTTTCAAAGTTGACCTCAAGGGTCTAGCCATAAGCCCAGAGTATCAGAAATACCAAGCCTGAACAACCAAGTTTAATAAACCTGATCTATCGGGTGTTTTTGTGATTGTATAGTATATAGAGAAGGGAGCACGACCTCAGGATAATTTTCCTGTAGCCCATCTTGAAAGCTATTCAGCTTTGGCAAGTTAGAGGCAACCTACAAAATGAGATAAGGAAGGGCTGTCACACCCCTTTGAGCTTTTAGGGTGAGCGAGAAATCAGAAGCCAGCCGGCCAAGAAGACATATACCAAAGTGGTAAATGGAACAGATAAGAATGTAAAAACCTGAGAAGGTAAGAACAAAGGCCTGTTTAGGTTTCGCATCTTGCTTCTCACCCATGCCAGCGAGAAGGCCAAAGGCAAGGCACAAGCACAATGTGTGGGCCTCCACTTTAGACAAAGCCCCTTTTGGAGAGATTTTGAACAGAAGTGAAGAACGGCTTCTATAAAGTAGCCCAAAGATAATTCGGTAGCTCCCGAAACTTCAGACCAAATTCAGAAGGTACAAGAACATAAGAAGAACCCTGCAGGATCAGGCCAATGGCCTATCTAGTCCAGCATCCTCTTCTCACAGCAGCCAACCAGAGGCCTGTGAGAAGCCCCTGAGGAGGACCCGAGCACAAGAGCCCTCTCCCCTCCTGAGGTTTCCAGCACCTGATATTCAGAAGCATGCTATTTCTGAGCAGGGGCAGAGCACAGCCATCAGGGTTAGTAGCCTTTGGAGCAGTTAAGAGCCGAAAAGTGTATTATGTTTGAGGATGGGAAAGGAAAAATATAACCTGGAAATATAGATAATATAGATAAAACTATATAGATAATATAGATAAAAATATAGATAAAACTATTCGAAAGCACCCCCGGGTGCAAGTAGATAAATAGGGACCGCTTACTAGCGGGAAGGTAAACGGTGTTTCCGTGTGCTGCTCTGGCTCACACGCTGGCCACGTGACCCGGAAGTGTCTCCGGACAGCGCTGGCTCCCGGCCTCTAGAGTGAGATGAGCGCACAACCCTAGAGTCTGTCAAGACTGGCCCGTACGGGCAGGGGTACCTTTACCTTTATCACAGATAGAGTATCTATCACAAAGCATTGCTTTGTACTCATTTCTCTCCAGGGAGGGAGGGGGAAGAACCAAAGAGAACAAGAAAGAAAATAAGAGCCTGGCTAGTTCAGAACGTAAAAAGAAACCTCCTGGATCAGACCAATAGGCCTGATCTAGCCCAGTTTCCTGTGTCCCGCAGTGACCAATCAGAAGCAATAGCATTCTTCCCTTATGAAGCCTAAGAACTGCTATTCAGACAACTGCTTGACTGAATAGCGTGACTATGACTATAGCTACTTTTTAATATTATTATTTAAAGGGAGATTTTTAAACAACGCCTTCAAGCTTAACACAGTTTAAGAACTGGTATTAGTAATGTAGTTCCAACGCCTGCAATTTATCAAATACAACCATCAAAATTGTAATATTTACACACAGCAAACAAAATGCACTGGGCTTGGATGCATAGAATAAAGAAGAGAAATATTTGTAGTGGACAGTGCAACATAACATAAAGGACTTCCAGATCAAAACTTATAAAGCTACAACAACTGGATTTTGGCTCTGTTCCAATAGCTAACAAACTTTTTTTTTAAAAAAAGTCATTTGTTTAAGAAAGAAAAACTTAAGTTCATTTTCTTCTTTGGCAGGGAAAAATGGCTGAAGCACTTTTTACGTTGACAAAACAAAATATAAGGTTTGTACATGATACATAAATACAAACCCCTGCTCACCTGTGAAGCTTATAGCATAGCCTTGGGCAAATCACTGTCTCCCAGGACAACTTACTTCATAGCATTGTTGTGAGGATATGTAAGTAATTTAAACATTGGAGAGCTGCTGCCAGTCAGTGTAGGGAAGAGCTTTCCCAACTGTTTGTCGTGACACGCTAGTGTGTCAGCTGCAATGTGTAGGTGTGTTGCGTGAACACTCCCCATGCTTCTCCCAGGGCTAGAAAGGGGTTAGTTTAGCCTCCATTTTGCTAGTAAAATTGAATTACTGTATTGCAAAATTATGCATGTCTAAAAAGTGTGTCACCAACACGAAAAGTTTGGAAAGGTCTGGTGTAGGGAATACTGAGCTAAATGGATCAAATGTCTGCCTCCGTATAAGGCAGCTATTTCTAACCTTTGAAAGCCTGGAACAATATAAAAATTAGTACTTACCTGGGAAATCTGACTTGTGCACCTGCTGTTATCCGTCAATTCACAACTGTGGGGGGGAAACATGAATGGCATTTTTTAAAAATCAAAATTCTGTCTGCTGAACTTTGTTTTTAAAAGTTACTGCAGTTTGTGATTGTGTGTATATGCTTACTATTGCAAGGATAAGAAGTCAGAATTCAATTAAAAACCTACAAAATCAGAATGTTTAAAGAAAAATTGGACATTGGAAAAACAGGTCCCACTTTATAGAACTTGGACTTTGGTAAAACTATGTAAGTTTAAAATCAAATGGATATTTTCAGGAAACGCACAAGGCTTGAAGCCAGTAGAGGAAGGAAAAAAATAATGTTTGTTTGATTGTGTATACATGCATGTGCGTATGTATGTGTGAGAAAACTATTTGGTACTCCAACAACTGCATAATTTTTTATATATAATAGTTTTTGCAACACAATATTGGATACATAGAACATCAAGTTAACATTCCAGCATAAGTTTCTACATTCCCTGGGTGTCATCTTTCTGAAACAATTATTTCTTGGAAAGATGCAATGGCGATTGGTGAATTTTTATTGCTATTATTTATTAAATTTGTATACTGCCCTTCATCTGAAGATCACAGGGTAGTGAAAAGCAAGAAAAGCTTACTGTACTGTGTCATACTGCACTCACTGACAGGATAAAGGTGCAAAAGGCACACAGAGATGCAATTATTGACCATACCATTGTTAATTTGTTATAATAGAAAGAGAGGCCATAGCTCACTGGTAGAGCACAAGCATTGCATGCAAAAGATCCCACACAACTTCGATAGCTGTCCCTGGCCAAGGTCCTAGTAGATAGTGTCAGGTGGTGCGGTGGTCTAAACCACTGAGCCTAGGGCTTGCCGATCGGAAGGTCAGAGGTTCGAATCCCTGTGACGGGGTGAGTTCCCGTTGCTCGGTCCCTGCTCCTGCCAACCTAGCAGTTCGAAAGCACGTCAAAGTGCAAGTAGATAAATAGGTACCGCACCGGTGGGAAGGTAAACGGCGTTTCTGTGCGCTGCTCTGGTTTTGCCAGAAGCGGATTAGACATGCTGGCCACATGACCCGGAAAAACTGTCTGCGGACAAACGTTAGCTCCCTCGGGCAGTAAAGCAAGATGACTGCCACAACCCCAGAGTCGTTTGCGACTGGACTTAACTGTCAGGGGTCCTTTACCTTTACCTTTTTAAGACTTGGGAGACCCAGTTTCAAATCCTCTCTTGGCCATAGAGCTAATTGCGTGACCCTGGGCCAGTCACTCTCTCTCTCCCAGCCAAACATACTTCTCAGGATTGTTGTGAGGATAAAATTAAGCTGGAGACTCTGCGTATTGTCCTGAGCTGCTCAAGAGAAAGGCAAAATAAACTAGTAATGAAATAAATTTGGGAAAGGGGCCATAGCTCAGTGGTAGCATGTCTGCTTTGGATGAAAAACGTCTCAGGTTCAATCCCTGGCATCTTCAGGTAGGGCTGGGAGAAACTCCACATGGAACCCTAGACAGCCACTGCCAGTCAGTGTAGACAATACAGGTCTAGACGAATGAACAAGTTGATATGATATAAGGCAGCTTTCTGTCTGAGACCCCTGAGATCAACTGCTGGCCAGAACAGACAATACTGAGCTAGAAGATATTTAGCCTTTGACAAGTGAAGGGTTATAGCTCAGTGGTAGGGCATCTACATTGCAAGCAGACGTTTGCAGGTTCAGTCCCTGGCATCTCCTGGGAATGTGTCATGTTTGAAACCCTGGAGAGCCTCTGCCCAGTACTCTGAGCCACATGGACCACTGGCCTGACTCAGTATAAGGCAGCTTCCTATATTCAGATAAATAGTGGTGTATCAGAGCAAGTATTATTCACATTGCATCTACACGTGTGCAGTGGCTGCATCGCCCTCCCCTCATCATACAAAGCAAAGGGGGGGACAACAACTGCATATACACACACACATATACACACACAGAAAGCTTCGTCCCCAGATGTCTGTTTGCACTCTGCTACTGAGCTATTATGCCAGTGCCTTGCTCTAACCATTCTCTCTTTCCACAGTCAAATCATTCTGCACCACTGAGTTCGCAGAAGAAAATGAGCAAGACTGTTCTGTCAAACTTCAAGAGATGATTTATTTATATTGATCACAAAGCAGCATTATCTCGGCTCAATACATTTAACCTCAGGATATTAAGGAGCCCCCACAGAAATGGCATTTCTCTTCTTCCTCAGGAGGGAGCGCTGTTCAATAAATAGTAGGCTGCCAGGGGGTTTTTTACTCTCTTACAGAATGAATGGAACAGCTTTATGTCCCCTAAGGAGACCTAACCATCTACTCTCAGTATATAGGTTTGACAAAATGGGCTAATAGTGAACTCCTTCTCCGAATCAGGTTCTTTAAGTGGCATAAGTGACACCACAAACACACACACACACACACATACAGAGGAGATATCAGGCACCTTGGAGGAACCTCAGAGTTTGCAGAAATACAGAAACCCCTCAGACTTATATAACCCAAAAAATATTTTTAAAAACTGCATGCCTCAGACAGTGACACGGGTATTACAGAAAATTTTGTATTGACAATTTTTCAGTCTTCATCAGAACATTTTCTGTTGTCCTACAGGGTGATCTAATTTAGCATGCTTATTTTATTTGTATTTAGTAAACGAAGCTTTGAAACTGCCGAGATTGCATTGTATATATTCACAATTGCCATGCATTAATCATTACTAACGAAATTATGAAATGGAAAAACTTCCACAGGAAAAGGAAGTACTGGAAGAATTTGTACTCCATGTCACTGGTGTCAGACTTACATAGTACCATATTGTGATATTTCACTGTGCAGCACAATTGTTACTTAGCCAGCAGTGTTACAGCTGCAGCCAAGCTTTCACCACAGAAACAAGAAAGGCAGATTAAAAATGGATAGTTAGATGTGAAAAATCTACACTTTAAAGATGGGAAATGTGAAAAAAGCCTCTGAGGGATTGCAGAAAGCCTAACATGGCTTGGGTGAACAGGTTTTCATAGCAACTGTTTGCTAACTAGCAAGAGTTTTCATCATCTTTTTAAGGAAGATGGGATCATTTCTCACTGAAAATGGCATAAATGTAGGAAAGCTTCCGCCAAGCCTGATTTAACTTCCAGGCCTGGCGTGATTAATATGCACCATTATATTTCTCTCTCTAAAAGCAGGCTGTGAGTTGGTTTCTATTTAAATGCACATAGAAGCTATTTACAACCCACAGGACAACAACAAAGTGTATATACGAATGACCACAAGGTGGTGCCATGGCCAAGAAAAGCAAGCATAACTATTAAGATGCTTTTCTAGTAACCACCACTATAAAATTCATTCATTCAAAGAGTGCTTCTATTCCATTTGTAGAATTCAGCTGCCGGAAAGCTCGGAATGACCCAAATTTATACATAGGCTAGTTTTTGTTCAATATACAAGGTTTAGCCACACCATAAGCTACTTTAAGATCCCAACGTTTTTCACATAAACTACAGTTTCAGAAGCCAGTCATACTGTAGAATGTGGTGCACAAAGTGTTGTTGTTGTTGTTGATTTGATTTCTTAGCCATCCTTCACAATAAGGCCCCAGAGTGGATTATAGCAATATTACAAATTACAGTCAAGAGAACTGGGTGGGTCCTAAAAATACATAGCTCAGGCACTAAAGGCGAGGGTAAAGTAATGTATCTTCAACATACAATCGAAACTATATAGTGTAAGTGCAAGACACATCTCTGTGGTGAGCTAATTCCACAACTTAAGGGCTGGCACAGAGAATGCCCTCTCCCACCAAAGCCTGCTTATAGTATATAAAATCATAAAATAGTCAATAAAAGAACAATAGAAGGTAGAAGTACAAATCCAGCATAGCTACCCATTTCCCAACACAATATGACAAGGGAGGGGAGAGCTTTATTAGGACAACACTACAATGCAGTGAGCAAGCCTAGTTTGAGATTTTTTGCTGTTCCTAATATTGTTTTTAATCACAGTTTTAGTGAGCACATACTAGCATACGGACACATCATAAATCTAATCCATTTTCAAAGTATACAGAAAAATACATAAATGTAAGAATGAAAGGACTGAAAATACATCTTCGCACAGCATACAGTATTGTTTTTTTAAGACTGGGTTTTATAGAAGCACAGCACACAGTTAAAACTATGGAATTCACTCCCACAAGTAGTGACGACCATCAACATGGGTAGCAAATTCATGTTGAATAAGGCTACCTACGGCTGGGTTCCATCACCGCTGTCAAAGGATCTCCATTCAGATCCTGCTTCCAAGCTTCCCACAGGCATCTGGTTTGCCACTGAGAGAAAATGATGTTATGCTATATACAGGCCATTGGCCTGATCCAGCAGGCTCTTCTTATTCTCTTAAACAGCAAAAAATAAAAATAAAAATCCTGATTTGCTATTACAACTAAAGTACTGAAATTCCAGAAATATTACTACCTTATAGGCAGAGCAATCCAAACTCCCCATTCCGCTGGGCTGGAGGAAATATGAATGGCATAAATGTGTCCCTCCACTCCATTAATTTCAATGGATCTACGCTGAATATGAATTGGTCAGATACAACTCAACATATATTGCATAAATACATTACATAATTTCCCCATGATATAATACAATAGATATAAACGAGCAGTCAACAGAATTCAACATCCTTGCCATTCTTATTCTTCCTCCTCTCTCACATTTTCGCTCAAAGTCACACAAACACCCGCTTACTGAAGACCCCGCTTCACACCTACCTACCTAAGTTCTGCAAAACTCCCTGCACGCCTGGAACAGACGGAAATTCAAAGAAAGGGCAAAACCCGGATGTAAGCTTCGTTCAGACCCGGAAGTTGTTGTTTCTTGACCGCTTCCGTCACACGGAAACCCCGCCTCTTCTCCCGCTGCAGCTGATAGTACACATACCAACGCTGGCACAATCGGAACAGGAGACGAGGAACGCTAGGGGGCTTCTGTTGACTATCGCGCCTTCGAGCTCTGCGCAGCCGCCAGCGCGGCGCGTGGCACCGCTAGGGCGGTGATTGGCTTTGGAGGACGAGAAGGCGGCAGCTGATTGGCTGGTTCAAAGCTGAGGGGACGGTTTGGCGGCCGCGGCGGGAGGGCTTCGTAAGCCGAAAAAGAAGATGGCAAAGAGGCGGCGGCTGGACGCCGGAGATGGGAAGGACGGGGCCGAGTAAGTTCGACTTGAGGGTGGGGGAGTGCCGCTGAGGTAACAGGGGCAGCCCCTTTCCCTCAGAAGAAAGCGAGCCGGGGAAACGGTACGTTGTAAATCAGTCAGTTTATTTTTATCCGGCTCTTCCTCCGAGGAGCTCAGAACGGCCGTTAACATAGTGGGAGCCCCATTTCGTCCTGGCGACAACCCTGTGAGGTAGGATAGGGCCGGGAGAGGAAGTCGCAGCCAGTGAGAGCTTCGTGGCCGAGGGGGCTTGAACCCGAGTCGTGCCCTTTGGGCCTGGGGTGCCGGATGTCGAGCCCTCCTGGTGTTTGAGACTGCAGCTCCCATCAGCCCCAGCCAGCAGGGATAAAGGGCATAGGAGCCCCGCCCCGTAGTCCCCAAAGTAATGTCAGTGAGTGGGTTGGAGTGTGGCAGAATGTTGCTGCTCATTGATGAGGATATAATAGATCTGGGGGGGATCCCTCCCCAAACTCTAGGAATAATTAACTATTAGGAGTTTGATTAAATGTGATGTGGATTAAGACACCAACTTCACAGCTGTGCCAGGCAGGGAATTCCTGGACTGGCTTATGCAAAGCAACCTGGTGGAACTACGGCTATCAAGGGTACAGTAGAGTCGGTTAACAAGACAACGAAACTTCCCTCTTGCCCCCAGGTGTGAACTGAGACTGGGGATTTGGGAGGTTGCCAGGGTAACAGCTGGGTGGGAGCTAGGTGAAGAAGGATAAAAGAGCTGAGATCCATCATTTGGAGTGTGCTGGCTGCAGGCTACTTATACTGCTACCTTTTGGAATGACTATGGTGTAAAATCTGGACTTCCTCCATTCAGACTGAAGGTGTAAATAGGTGAATAAACCATATTTCTTAAAACATGACATTCTCCGCCATGTCTTCTATTCCTCATAGGGAAACAGAACCCATGTGTATGCCTAGGACCCCATGGGCTCTTGCCACCAAGATGCTCGGAAATGCTCTGTTATTTTGCATACTTCAAGCATTTTTATATTCAATAATAATAATAATAATAATAATAATAATTTATTTATACCCCGCCCATCTGGCTGGGCCTCCCCAGCCACTCTGGGCGGCTTCCATAAAAACCACAAATACAGTAAAATATCACACGTTAAAAACTTCCCTGAACAGGGCTGCCTTAAGATGTCTTCTGAATGTCAGGTAGTTGTTTATCGCTTTGACATCTGCTGGAAGGGCGTTCCACAGGGCGGGCGCCACTACCGAGAAGGCCCTCTGCCTGGTTCCCTGTAGCTTTGCTTCTCGCAATGAGGGAACCGCCATAAGGCCCTCGGCGCTGGACCTCAGCGTCCGGGCAGAATGATGGGGGTGGAGACGCTCCTTCAGGTATACTGGACCGAGGCCGTTTATAGACCACTTGATTGTAAAAACAAAATACGCTCTTAAGTGGCTTACAAAAATAAATCTTCCAACAACTCTCAGAAGAAAATAGGGTCCAGTGTACGCTTATGTTGCACTGCTCTCACAAGAGTAAAAGCCAGTATAAAGTGTCACAGTGCCAGACTAAAATCAGGTATCTGATAGTCCCAGATTCACATCCTCATTCATCCACAGAGCTCACGGAGAGTAACCATGCACCAGTCACTTCCTTTCTCAGCCTGGTCTACCTCACAGAGGTTGTGAGGATAAAATGAGAGGAACATGTATTTGGAGGAATGGCAAGATAAAAATAGAATGTAGATGTAATTGAACTACAGCTTGCATCATCCCTGACTATTGGCGGTGCTGACTAGGGTTGATGAGAGATGGAGTCCAATAGGATCTGGAAGGTACCACACTGATTACCCCTGTTGTAATAGTGTGTCCTGTACTGGCTTCTGAAGCAGGCTGATGTAGCCAAAACACAAGAGAAAATAAGTATTTAATATCTACTTGTTGTGGATAGGATGATTGATTCACAGTAGGTTCTACTTTGTAGTATGACTAGACCTTAATATCTCAAGTGGTGAGGATCTAAATTTGTTGTGATTATCCTGAATTTTGGGAATATGTAGCTATACCACAGAGGTTTCTCGACCTATACTTTTGCCAACATAATTTTGTAAATATTAATATCCTACCCTCTTAATTATATTTTCAAAACTCCTAAGCCTCTAAAACTTTAGCTCATCTCTTGTTTGGAAGGTGTTTCAACCCTGTAATTATTTTAGGGTTGTGGCTGGGGTTTTGAAGCTTTGTGATACCATTTTAAGATGAAGCCAGACTTGTAACAGGATTCCAAATGTGGCTGCAGCAAATACTTATAGTAGCATTTCAATTCTTGCCATTTATTTTGAATCCCTTTCCTACTAATTCTTAATATTGGATTTACCTTTTTCACAGCTGCTGTATCCTGTCTATCTTAAGTGTGTAATGCAGGCATCTCCAGCCTACAGCCCTCCAGATGTTTTGGCCTACAACTGCCATAATCCTTGGCTAACAGGACCAGCGGTCAGGGATGATGGGAATTGTAGTCCAAAACATCTGGAGGGCCGAAGGTTGGGGGTGCCTGGTGTAATGTATCTGAATATTTAATCTCTATTTTATTTTGAAGGGTCTTCATTATGGATGAGAGAGTAGCTGAATACATTAGAAGAACTGTGCTGCGAATCCCACGTTCCGAAATGGGGAAAATGCTGGCCACATGGGGGTTTCTGTCTGAAACTCAGCTTCAGTCTTTAAACATCCATCAGCTAAAGGAAAACGTGTCCCAAGAAGTAGTTCGGCTATGTGAGGTGAGAACAGTATTGGAAGGATCATTGTGAAATTTGTACAAATGTCAGTGTTTTTTCTGCATAAAATAAAAAACATGCTTACTGGGAAACAGTACTGTACTATTTAAGTACTATGACTGTAGAAGAAGAAGAAGAGTTTGGATTTGATATCCCGCCTTTCACTCCCCTTCAGGAGTCTCAAAGCGGCTAACAATCTCCTTTCCCTTCCTCCCCCACAACAAACACTCTGTGAGGTGAGTGGGGCTGAGAGACTTCAAAGAAATGTGACTGGCCCAAGGTCACCCAGCAGCTGCATGTGGAGGAGCGGAGACGCGAACCCGGTTACCCAGATTACGTGACTACCGCTCTTAACCACTACACCACACTGTACTATTGGTGGTCTGTGTTTTAAAACTACTTTTAATAGGAGTTGGTTTCTTAATACTGAAATCTTTCTCAAGTGCCTTTAATAGAGGACCCACCAGAGCTTTGGTGATGTCTTCACCCAAATAAGAGGATGAGACAGTGATGTGAGCACATGGGAGTATGTGTGATGGAAAAGTAGTGGTCTTTGCAGTGAGAGAATTTTGAATGCACATTTGGGGGGCACATTTTTCTTACATTTATACCCCATCTTTTTTCTGTCACTATTATTCCTTGCATGGGCAATGATGTAGAACAGGCTTCCTCAAACTCAGCCCTACAGTTGTTTTTTTGGCCTATAACTCCCATGATCCCTAGCTAGCAGAACCAGTGGACAGGGATGATGGGAATTGTAGTCTCAAAACATCTGAAGGGCCGAGTTTAAGGAAGCCTGATGTAGAAAATAGCACTGGCTTTGGCCTTTGGGGTGCATATCTTCTTGTTCCAGTTCTGAGAACTGGAGCATACTGTATCTTCTTGCTCCAGTGCTGGAGTATAGCAGGACAATGTAATGGAGCTCCTTTTAGCACCTAATCCAGAAATCTGAGCACTGTGTAACTGGAACCCTGGGGACAGGGCCACAAACCCCTCCCGCTGACAGTCTGTTACAAATTGTACATGTTGTATGGGAAATGTGACCTTGGAGCAATTGTGGTGAGGCTCAGGGATACTTTGGCTGTAGATACATTTTGATTTGTATAATGATTCTGCAGAATTTCAACAAAATCCATGACTGTTGTAGCCCTTGTTCATCTGTGATGGAGTGCCCCCAGTTTCTTGTCAATGAAGCAACTAATGAATAACTAATAGATTTTACAGGTTCAGAGCTTAATAATGAAACAATATTATTTTAATACAAATGCAGTTTTTAACCAGATCTGGACATAAGAGTAAGCCATGAACCATGGTTTACCTTGAATGAGTAGCATGCTGGTGCACACAGCTCTTTCACATCCACCCCCTCCTCCATGCTTGGAGAAAACAAATCAGGGCATAGACTTGGTTTTATGTGTGAACGAATGCTCACACATTTGCTTACCTGTTTAGAGAAAACAAACCACTAATGCTGGTTCGCAAGTAATACAAGGTCACTGTTCTACTTTGTTTTCTCCTAACATGACATGGAGGGGAGGGGGCTGGTGTGAAGCATGCACCAGTATATTTGGAAAAAACTGTGGCTTGCCATTGTATGCAATTTGGGCCTATATAATATCGTCTAACTTTTTTGATTAGTTGTTCTTATTGTCTTAAAGGAAAACCATGCAACTATCCAGCATGCAGCAGATCTAGACATAATTTGTAAGTGAAGTGTTTTCTTATATTTTGTTGT